TTCTTCCGATTTATTTATACTAAATCGTAACAACAATTTCCGCAAATGTGAATTTATTACTCTCAAAATTATTTTTCACTATCGTTAATCAATTTCTCGATAAACAATATCTTCTTAGATTTCACACTATATCCTGATCACGTTTCTTGATGGATGCCATTCTTAGCTATTACTCCCTACTCAAGTCAGTTACGTTTCCCAAAACTACTAAATAAGATTCATTAAATAATATCTCACTAAAAGACAAGAAAAGAAATAAATAATAATAAAAAATAGAGACAAATATAAAATATAATATTCAAAGGCAACAAGGACAAGGACAGTTTGTTATTTATTAAAGGTAATGATTACGAGAATGATTAATTGATTTATGATATTACAACGTTAGTTATACATGTTAAAGGTTATATCATCTAGTTCTCTGATTTCTTTGAAATCCTAATTTATTTTAATTAAATACACTATTTGAACCTTCCATGTAGAATTATCTTCGAGTTACAGTATGAGCAGTAATTTAAATTCCTTCATTTTAAATCTAATCTAAAAATTAAAGGTCCGTTACATTTTAGAATGTTCTTTTGAGATATTTTTCGCGAGTCAATTATTTTATTGGTAACATTATGAAATTGGGCTGGTTTGAATTTTCGAGTTTTTTTTTCGTGCAACTTACATAAATCATTTCTGTGATCCAAATATCCAAATAATCAAAAAATCAAAATAAAAAAATTTGATTATATAAATTGTAATGAATTTCCTTGAAGTGAGAAAAAAAAAACCTTAAAATAACAGTAAAAAAAAAATAAAAAAACGAAAATGAACAAATCATTATTTGGCATTTTCTTTTTCTTATTCGTCTTTCCAGTTATCATTTACACATTTCCCTCGCCTTCGTTGGTAAAGAGAGATTTTGCACCATGTGATGGCACTTATCCAATTACCTTTAGTAAATTTGAATATCTCCCTCAACCAGTTAAAATAGATAGCCCTATGACCTTAACCATCGAAGGCGTGAGCAAAATCACCATAGAGCCAAAAACTATACTTCAAACCAGAGTTCCTAGTGGTGCCAAAATCATGTCGCCTTTTTGTGAAGAATTAAACCTAACATGCCCATTTGCACCTGGACCTTTCTCATATACAGGTACCGCCTACATTCAAATCATTCCTGGTGGCACTATTGATAAAATTGAAGAGATTATTGAAGGTATGTTATCATTTTATTATTTGTCTATACTAGTTCATTCGTTGACTTGTTGTACAAATACTAAAATATCAAAAATTACTATTTAAGTTCTTGCTCCTGATGAAGTAACTAAACTAGGGCGTGTGCAAGGAAGCATATCTGTCATTCGTTAAATCTATTTTTCAATTTACGAGTTAAAAAAATCAATATTTCATTTGTTAAATGTAAATTTTTCTATATATATATGTATTAATATACACATTAATTATTTTTTAATATTAAACAAATTCTTTATTAACAATAAATATAATTAAATGATTTTGTTGTATATCTCAATAATCTCAATAATAAAACATGCATTTTCGCGAAGCTTTGCCCCTCCAAAACCACAACAATTGACTAGCACATCTTCCATGTTTCAATTAAGCATGTTAGCCGAAATTACCTCTCTTATGAGAATGGTTGGCGAAATACTTTGCAGGGCGGGAAATTATTCTGTCAAACCATTGTTAATTTCATCGCATTTGACAAAATGTGATGAAATTGACGATCAATTAAACCGACCAAATTTTCGTAACCAATAATCAAAGGTATGGCCAAATATTGATTTTATATATATCAGTATAGTGATGTCACCAAAAAATGATTTAGATTCGGAGCTCTTTGTCTTATCATCATGATAAAAAAGGATTGAGAATAATCACCATGGTAAATACCAATGTTACTCTACACATTGAATTGCTATATAAAATGCCATGTATAACAATATTTATTAAAACCATAGTACTAGTTCTCAAAAAATGCGCTCTGAGCATATGCGTCAATTGCGTTTGAACCTCAAAATTCAGTATGGTATGATCATAGCGTTATGAATACCTTATACTAGCAAGAATCAATTAGTTTTGAGATAGTGCTATTGTTTGACGGGCTCTTGAACAGTAAAAAAATTTTTTTAGGGTTAATCATCACTCTATTGACCAGTTTTACACACACAATAAGATATACACGTAAACTCATTAAGTCGGATGCAACAATCACTTGTTTAAGATAAATAAATGACCGACCTATCAAGTTTACATGTATGTAGGGTTTGAAAGAAGGCCTAAAAACAAATCAGCTGATATGGTAATTGCATATTACCAGCAATTTTTCCATCACTATCCTTGTCCAAAGTTGATAATATATCGACTGAAATGTTTGCACTATATTAAAACAATCAATATATGTATACCTAAAATTTATTATTGGTGATCAGCAAGTATCACAAGTATCTAATTTGATTGGATAAATCAATTTCGTCTACCGTTCTTAGCAGAAACATCAATATTTAGTTAATTGTTCTTTCTGATTTTTTTATTTCCAACGTGTCAGCAATATTACCACTTTGTGATATGTTTAATTTTGAAACAAAAGGTTACGTTCCATACATGGTTGTATCAGCAATCCTTCTAATCACCATGGTTCCTATGCATAAAATATTTAAAATTATCAGAATAATAATCGCTAGGCTCTTATTTTTTCATCCATCAGTATTCTGTAACACTATAGAAGGTTTCAGTGAATCGACAATCTTTTAATAGCTATAATGGTCATAATATTAGTATTGAAAGCATGTATAAGCCTGCTGATAAAACTCCAGAGAAATTTTTTTTTTAATCCAAGCACCGAATTCAACGGCTCAAATATTACTAGTGAATTAGTACCGGCATTGATTGTCTTTGTATTTTTATTTTTTATTTACTTTATGAAGGCACAATAGTTCATGGTTCGTTGCCAACTATCATATTTGGAATACGTTTATTTCTATGTGACATTAAAGGAAGTCAATTTGATTTCACTTTTATTGCTCTGGGCAAATTTATGACTTGTGTTGTTTATTGTTTATGTCAATATTATACTAGAGCAAAAGATAAAGAAATCTGACGATGGGAGATGCAGTCTACTCAGTTTAAGAAATATATAGAGCTGCATTTTAGAAAAACAAATTGAAGCAAAAAATTAGTGTAAGATTTATGCTAAATTTAATCATCAATTATTTTATTTTATAGTCGCCACTGCTACCATCGGAATCAACGTCACCGTTACCTCGTCACAAGAAGAATATAGCAATTATAAAAGTTGTAGAATAAATAATCATTTTATATACATGTAAAAATGGATTATAAGTCATGATTATATTTATTATCATTCTACATATATTATCGGTTTTTTTTATCATCTCTACTTTACTATGTATTAATAAATAAAGATTTTATTAACGGGTATTTAAACGGGTATATATTTACCATTACCTGATATTAATATAAGCGGATATGGGTATATGAAATAGCATGCAAATAACTACATACAGTACAGTAGAGAACAGCAAAAGCTATCTATTATTGCTAAAGTCAAGGAATATTTCGTTTATGATTTCTACTCTCTAGTTAAGAGTTTGATGAATTATTAAAATATTTTTGTAATTTAAAAAACATCTACACCAGACATTGGCAAAATATATTTGTTTCTTTTCTCTCTACGAGCTTAACTTTATAAGCCTTTACCTAGCACAGATTTTCTTTCATATTTGAACAATATCTATAAAATTTTTTATCATGACTATTTTCTTTATATTTATTGTAAATCTTGTTTTAGTAGGCGAAATAAAGCCACATTTACATTATGGGACAAATGCAAGAGAATGAATAGTAGGGACGAGCAACAACTACCACCGATTGAAGTTCGGAACATTTTAATTTGGTTGAAAAATTAATTTAAATTTGCAATTATACAGGATCAATAATAAAGCAATTTAAATTACATTCGTGACGCAATTGAAATTTTGCAAGCGATTTACTGTTTAATTCTTCTTATCAGAAGATTTAAAATGATCAATAAAATGGTTTACGTTAAATGTGACAATTGAACAAAAAAAAATAAGCTGAAAAACTTAACTGTTAATTGATAATAAACAAAGCTTCTGGGACTTGTTTGAGAATAAAACAAACGTATGAAACTCTTTCAGATTTGCTCCGTTTACTATCAAAAAGTTAAAAGAAGAACAAACGAAAGAAACACTGCTTCAAGGGCGTGAGCAAAATTCAGATAAGATCAAATATTGGTTGATTTGCCATTTGAAAATGAAACAAGATCACAATTGTTATTAAAAAGATTGACATTGAAAAGCCAGTTGTGCTTTACAATGCATTAGAAATATATAGCGGTCTATAATAATGCACTAAAAGGAATTACCTATTGACTTATTTTAAAGGCTTTGAGCCATTCCACAACATTTACCAATTAACAAATGTGATATTCATATTCTGTCATATTTAAAGCAATCAATAATTTGTTTAACTTTTGATTTAAAACACGCGAAACACGTACAATTGTGACGTTGACCGTGGCTGGCTAATGAACCGCAGTCGGTAAAAATGGATAATAAGTGTAACGTTAATCACAGTGAAGAGTAAAAGTTATATATACTGTTTTAAGAAATAATTATTTTACGGAGATTATTCATTTTTCCACCTCACTAATACTATTTAAAGAGCCAAAATAAAAAAATTAAATCGAGTCAGATAAAAACCAAAAATGGTTAATGTAAAAAACCAAAAGTCAAAAAATGAATGCTCCCCTGAAATTTTTTGTGGCGTTACGATCACATTTATTCTTCCAAAAAAAATTTTTACTCTTTCACACGTAAATAAATAATGTAAGATGAATTTGTTTTATTTGTAATTAACTAAATGTTATTTATTAATATTGAACAACGATTACAAAATTTTTTTCACAGCAATAATAAATAGTTTGTAATTTAATTTTATCAATCAAAATTATGTTCGATATTAACGAAGATAACAACACAACACCTATAAACACTTCTCTCACTTATGGACTGTATGGATCAATCACACATGATGAAGCACCAATATATAATTATAACGTTAACAATAAATATAAAGATGATGATGACACAACACCAATAAACAGTCCCACATACGAACTATATGAGCCAATTGCTAATGATAATGTTGAACCAATAAACACTTATGACATTAACAATAATAATGATAATAATGATCTTAAAAATAAAGACGATGACACAGCATCCATAAACAGTCCCACATATGAACCATACGAGCCAACTATAAATGATGTTAAACTAATAATTAATGAAAATGAAAAAGTTCATGCAAACTTGAAGCAAATACAAAATCACCAATCAGTTTCAGCTTTTTATCCTTTTACTGTTTACGATTCTTTTAAAAATGATGATTTGTCATTTTCTTGTTCTCAATATAATAATAATGCTAACAAGAATAATAAATCACTGTTTTCAATGATTGATGGCCAAATTTCTTCTACTTTTAATATTATTAGTAGTAATCAGGATAGTGCTCTCATAATAAATGAAGACAACGATAATAGCACTAATAATAAATTACCCAACAAACCAATCAGTAATAATAATAATAAGAAAAGACTATATTCGTCCATTGAATCTGATGACTATATCAATAATATTTCACGTTGTAAAAAAGATCCAACTTTACAAAAATGTGGACATCCTAAACATGATGAATATAAAGGTCATCTTAAAAATACAATTGGTGCATTTATTAGATTACCAAAAAGACTAGAAGCATGCCTGAATATTGATAGAGGAACTTTGATGTGTGGAAGATGCATCTATCGAACTGATAGAGATCCTGAGGTAAATGTTCATTTAATCATGCTTGTTAATTATTATTATTATTTAATAATAATAATATTATTATTTCATAATTTAGTATACTTCTCACAAGAAATACATTTCTCGTCGTTCTATAAGAAAAAAATGTCTACTTGTTAGATTGAACATTGATATGAATTTTTAATCCACAATGATAATATTTCAAAAATTTATTTCTTATAAATATATATATATATATATATATATTTATAAAATTATTTTACATATACCAGTATATTAAACATTCACAATACTATTTCTTTTTTCTTTTTTATGTTCTGTATATAAGTGCGTTTCATTATTATTATTATTGTTAGTTTCACCAATTAAAAACAAACAAGATTTATATCGTACTTGATTTTTTTCTTTAACAAGAAAATAAATAAATAAATTTTTTGGTTCGGTAAATTCAAACAAGATTAAATGATTATATATACTGTATGTACATAATATTATATGTAACTTTAAACATGTCATTACAAACAATATGCACCACAATTGTGACATGGTGTTTTATTTGTCTATTTTTTTTTAACTATCATTAAATAATTTATTTAACTTGATCAACCAATGTATATATCTGCTACTATGGTTAGTATATATTTGTCCTCCAGTGTTACTGCGAAATGACTGCTATCATGGCTAGTATGTATTTACCCTCTGGTTTTATGAACTAACAACCTAATTTGTCAGAAAAAGGTTTTCAGGTTAAATGTATTTATTTATTTAGCTGTTCTTTATTATACATAATATATTTATTATAATACAATCCAATTTTCCAGATTATATTTAACTGATAACATTTAAAAATATCATTAATTATTATTAAAAATCCTTAATCTTGATCTTTTTCTAATATTTTTCTTCTATATATCATTTTCATTATAATGTGTTGTACAAAATTTTATTGCTAAAGGTTTGGGTCCTCTCCAATTTTTCATTATAGTATCCAAATAATGGTTACCAAATATATTATACAAATAAAGGTTGTCAATATTACAGTTCTGACAAATAAAAGCTATCGACTTTAAGTTTTTTGGTAATGTTTCATTTAATACTGTTAATATTCTATTACCATCTATTTTATCACGAGAAGTAAATGTGATACTTTTTAATTTAACACATTTATTGAGTACTTTAATTAATTCCTGGTCTGATTCATTCTTATATAATATAGATAAATTTTCTAAATTTTTGCAAGATTGTGCAATTGATTGTAATACCTTTTTCACAGATCTACAATTATAGAGAGAATTAACATCCAGATTTTTAAGGTTTTTTCCATTAATTTTGATAAAATTAGATAATTCTGGTGGAAATGGTTGACAATTAAATTGCAGCATCAAAGATTCAATATTTGGCAGTGAAATATTTTTCCAACTTCTTGTTTTGTTTTTAGTAGCAAATATTAACTCTAAGGTCTTTAAATTTTTAAAAGTTGGTAATGAATCAATAAAATTATCTTCATTGCTAATATATCTACAAAAAATTATTGATTGTGAATGTGCTAATATTGCTTCTTTTAATTCATCTAGTGGAATTCGTTCAAATTTTGCCCCAATATCTAAATATTTAATTTGCTTTTGTGCTTTAATTAGTTGTGCGAATTTATATATATTTTCACTAATAAATATGTAATATATACTTTTTAATGATTGAATATTTTTACAAATATTTGCTAATTTATCAAAAAATTCACCACTATAAAAACTACTATAGCCTATTTCATAAAGATTCCGAAAACAATTATCAAATCTATGATGATTAATTAAAATATTATAATCTATATAATAAAAATATGGATTAAACTTTCTAATACCTGCTGAATGGTCTAAAATAAAGCTTCCTAATTTATTTTGTAAAATTTGTAAAGAAATTGGTCCAGAATTTTTTATTAGGCGATTAAAATCATGTTGACTTTCAATTATAGTACAAAATCTGGCATAATTGTATAATGGCAGTTTCTCCAATAGTTCAAAATTTAATTCAACTCCAGTCAAGGAATCTTTATCTTCTCCCAATAAACAATTAATTAATATTTTAATGCTGTCAAGAGAATAAAATGGATTTCTCCATAAAGTTGAAATATTGATACTGTGCCATTGTTTGTTGATAAGAACACATGAATATAATGTTTTATAATCATCAATATATTTGGATATTTCAGTTAGAAGTTCAGGCGGAAAACTTGTTATTTCAACCATTTTAAAAATTTTAAAAATAAATTTATTTTGTATTTTTCCGCAATTGGCAATCTAATTTAAATTTTAAATATACTGCGGTCAATGATGCTTTTTGTGTAACAATCGTATATAAATAAAGGAAATTGACTATAAGTCAGCGAGTAGGCTGTGTGTCAAACAATAGAATCAACCATAAGTCAGCGAGTAGGCTGTGTATTGAGCTATAAATAACCTATTAAATAGGAAACTCGGATTGCATGCTCACAGTGTTATAAATTATAATACACACATGATTTTTTTTCTAAGAATGTTTTAATTGTAAAATAAGTATATTCATACATATTTTGCAAATAATTAGTGAATCATCTTTTTTGATTTAAGTATGTTTTGTAAAAATCAAGTAGAAAATAAGTAGGAAATAAGTATCTAAATTTTTTGTAGGGCTAATGTAATGGCGTCAGATGTAATAATGGCACATTAAAAGCAGTAGTAGTAATAACAGTAACAGTAACAATAGCAGTAGAACAGGAATAAGATGATAGTAGTAGTGGTATTAAATTTTTTGTGATCAACGTTATAAATCTTGATTTTCCCTAAAACTTTCTGTATTAGTATGTTCTTTACATAAATTCGGAAATTCTGTAAGTGGTGTGCAGATCACAAAAAAAATCACAACCAATCAATACATGACATTAATTAGTTTTTAGAATGTCGCACACCACAAGGCGTCTTGTAATTTCACAGTTACAATTCACACAACAGGAACAAAAAAAAGTTGCATTGCTTTTTTTCATACAAAAAAAAATGAATGAAGGTATTTTTTTTCTTATAACTTTTTTAAAATTTTAATTTTACATCTCAATTTAATAATTTGCTTTATAATAAAATAATGCTTAGCAAAATTCTACAATGGTAAATATTATAAATCAACTTAAATAGTTTTTATTAAAGTATCATTTAATTAAATAAAGTTATTCTTTTATTTATAATAATAGGAAGCAAGTATTATATTATAAATTAACTTTTGCAAACTTTATCAAAGTATCATCTAATTAAATAAAATTATTTTTATTTCATTATAATAACCAGTTGGTAAGCATTGTATTATAAATTAACTTTTACAACACAAATGAACTTTATCAAACATTACTAATCAAATAAATTATTTTATTATTTCTTTATAATAAATAACCAGGGAGTAAGTATTCTATTATAAATTAATTTTTACAATGCAAAATAAACTTTAATTCTATTTTTTGCTTTTTTATAAAATTAGATGGTAAGCATTGTATTATAAATCAACTTTTAACAAAATAAACTTTTTTAAAAACATTGCCTAATTAAATTATTTGATTTTTATTTCATAGATCGTAAGTATTATATTATAGTTAACTTTTATAAGATAAACTTTAATAAAGCATAATCTAATTAAATAAATTTATTTTTATTTATAATAAAAAACCAGTTGGTAAGTATTATATTATAAATTAATTTTTACAGCACAAAATGAACTTTATTAAAATCTAATTAAATAAAATTATTTTTTATTTCTTTATAATAACCAGGCTGTAAGTATTCTATTATAAATTAACCATTACAACACAAATAAACTTTATTAAACATCATCTAATTAAATAATTTTATTTTTAATAATCAGATCGTAAGTATTATAAATTAATTTACAACACAAACTTTATTAAAACATCATCTAATTAAATAATTTTATTTTTAATAACTAGTTAGTAAGTATTATATTACAAATTAATTTTTTACAACATAAGATGAACTTTATTAACATTACTGATTGAATAAATATATTTTATTTCTTTATAATAACCAGGTTGTAAGTATTCTATTATAAATTAACTTTTACAACACAAATAAACTTTATTAAAGCATCATCTATAAATTTTTTATTTCCAGATCGTAAGTATTTTATTATAAACTCAACTTTACAAGACAAAATAAGCTTTATTAAAACATCATCTAATAAATAAAATTATTTTTCATTTCATTATAATAACCAGTTGGTAAGTATTATGTTATAAATTAACCTTTACAACACAAAATAAAGCATCATCTAATTAAATAATTTTAATTTTATTTCTTTATAATAACTAGCTGGTAAGCATTATATTTTAAATTAATTTTTACAACACAAAATCAATTTTTAAAACTTCATCTAATTAAATAATTTTATTTCTAATAACCAGTTGGCAAGTATTATATTATAAATTAACTTTTACCAAAATAAACTTTTTAAAAAACATAATCTAATTAAATAATTTTATTTGTTTATTTTTATAATAACCAGGAGGTAAGTATTATACTATAAATTAACCTTTACAAAATAATTTTTTTATTATCATCTAATTAAATAAAATAATTTTTTATTATATATAATAACCAGTTGGTAAGCATTATATTATTAATTCTTACAACACAAATTAAAACATCATCTAATTAAATAAATTTGTTTTTATTTCTTTAAATAACCAGTTTGTAAGTATTATATTATAAATTAACTTTTACAACACAAATGAACTTTATTAAAATATCATCTAATTAAATAATTTTTTTTTTATTTTTTTTTATAATAACCAGCTGGCAAGTATATTATAAATTAATTTTGCACCACAAAATGAGCTTTAACGTTACTAATTAAATAAATTTATTTTTATTTCTTTATATTAACCAGCATGTGAGTATTATACTTTAAATTAACTTTTATAATACAAAATAAACTTCATCTAATTAAAGAAAATTATTTTTTGTTTTTCATAATAATCAGGGGGTAAGTATTATAAATTAACTTTTATAATGAAATAAAAATTATCTAAATAAATTTGTTTTATTTCTTTATAATAACCAGATTG